GGGTGGGGAATGACACATGACATGGAGTTAAAAATATGAATCCAAGAGTAAGGAGAAACAATGTAGTGAATCAAGTGTTTTAAAGCAAATGCACCACCATTTTAGTGCTCCACATTAACCTTGTTGATAGTAAAAGGTCCTCACAAACTCATACTTTAATGCACACGTTCAATTGGAAATGTCCTAACAGTCCTTGCTCATCTCCCTGCAACAGCTGTTTCTCTTAGGGAAAATATTCTCTTAACAGGCATCCAATTTTCAGAGGGATTTATTTTTGTGTATTGAGCAAATTGTCAAATTTGGCTTCCTAGCTGAGAAATTTGTTTCCATACTCGACAGATCTGAACAGGTTGCCAGAGATGCAGAGGTGTTTGTTACTTCCAGTTTCCACTGTAGACAAGACAGGATTTCTCCTGTGCTCAGAATGAAGCATGTGTTCATCGTTTTTTTTGGATCAGGACCTAAGTAAACATGAGGATGGATCTGAGAAATAGATATGTGACTGAGTTGAAATTTTACCCTGGCTGTCTCTTCCTGTCTTTCTAACATGATGATTTGATTCATTTTCTGTTTTCAGTATAGGGGGAGTACTGGTGTGTTTGTACCTAAAAAAAACCAACAGCCAACCGACCCCCCAAACCCTGTGTAAAGCATTGAAACTGAGCAACTGATACAAGAGAGAAAACGGCCAGTCAGCATTTTCCCTGTCACCATTCAGTATCACAGCTTTTGTGATTAAGGTATTACAAGTCATGGATCAACATTAGCATTTCAGATTTAAGGAAAAATGTAGCTGAAGAGAAGAAAACAGTGTACAAAAGCGAGGACAAGGAGTTATTTGTGGCATGGTTTGAGAGAGAAGGTAGCAGATAAGTGGTCTTTTCAGAATGCACTTGTAAAATTCAGTCAGAAGAGAAGACAGCCTCTCACCAATAGATGGAGCAAAGTGACCAAAAAAGGGACCTGCAGATGCATTTGCCTCCCATGATTTGCTTTCATTGCAATGCAGAACAGACATGGAGTCATCCCACCAGCAATATTAGCATTTTTAGAGTGTCTCAAATGTGAGCACAACTAAAAAATCCCCGGAAAGACATGCCTTGGGATGCACTGATGCTGCTGACATAATTCCTGAGGAGCCCCGCATCGGTTTCTGGAGACGTTTTAGTTGCTATTGCAGGAGAGTTCTACAGTTAAGAAGCTCTGGTCCCGTCAGGAGACACCTGGTCAAGACCATTCACCACTTAAAAAAGGCTTCAGCATTCAAAGAAAAGAATCAACAGTCCAAATTAGCCCAGCACAAGAGAAGATACCACACTGTAGACACAACTGGATGGAGTGACGTCAGACGCCAGGGACATGGAAGTTCTGCTTGGCCCTACTCCACCTTTACATGGTATTGCTGAGAGGCCTTGCAGCAGATATGGGCTCCAAGAAGGGGCTTCCATGAAGAGTGGGTACAGTACTGGGAAAGAAGGCAAAGGTACCTTTAGAAAAAATACAAACTGCTTCAGCGGCAGAGTGGATTATGCATAAGTGCAGGAAAGAAAGTACAAAATTTACCCTTGCAGATTATCCTTGCCAATTCCATTGGTTCCTCCCTAACAGCCTAATTTGGTTCTCTCTCTCTCTACTAATAAATGAACCACCTCCCACTACGAAACACGTATTCTCCATGGCCCTACATCAGGGAGCTTCTTTCAAGAGGTGAAAGACCCCAGCCAGGACCCAGCCTCAGCCCAAGCATCCCCAAGTATGATGCAAGTTACCCCATACATACATACACGGGTCAATCTGACCTAAAAGCAAAGTCTGACTCAAGCATCTGTCAGCAACCAGCATAATCCCTGAAATATGAGGTGCTACATCTTCCTCATCCCAACTATTTCTCCTAGTAACTCTTGATATACACACTATCCCAAGACAATTTATAATTATTCTCTTAAACTTTCTATATTCTGGACCACAATAACCTTATTCAACCATAAGTCTTGAAATGAAAGCACACTGATCCTTACCATAAATTACTACTAATAATTCTGTTTCATTGCTCTCCATGACAGCAATCATTCAGGACATCATGCCCAAGACTGGTTTACTAAGGTAGCTTCACCACATGTTGCAGCAACAAATATTACACCAGTAAGGGAAAGCTTTTCTGGTAAAGACTGATATGTGCTTCCTACGTGCTGAAGCAAAAACTGATGTATGAAAACTTTATTCTAAAACAGGACTACACAAACTCAGTTTGGAAAACAAATGCAAAACATGGATCTTTTATCAAAATGTTCAAACCAAAGTATTTTCAAACTGTTGTTTTGAAACAAAAATATTACAAATGTTCATTAAAATCTAAATAGTGTGTAGAGGTGTGTGTGTGTCATGGACTGGGATATCTTTAAAAACATTGATGGGGTGGGGTGGAGCGGGGTGGATTTTTTCAGGCCTGTGTTTCATGCAGCTCCATTTCTTAGAGAATGTAATGCAGGGAGAGTTCTCAGGAAAGAAATCTGTCATTCTCCATATTGGAGGAACAGCTGTCTCTGTCCTCCAGGATCACTAAAGGATATTCTCCTCATCCAATGTGTACCTTGCTGAAAGACAGGTTGGGAAAGGCAGAGCGATTAAGATTTAGGATTTGCAGTCCCTAAAGAAGCTCTGAAAAGGAACAAAAGCCTTTGTGACTACATCAGTAGGCTGCTTGGCCTAAATCTCTTTTCCATGAAAGAAGGGATGGCTATGTTTTAGAGGGAGGTGAACAAATGACATTCCACAATGGAAACTGAAGCCTGATGGCTTTTCCAGGTACCTGTCTCTGGAGGCAAAGCTTGCACAGACATATTTTCTGTATATTATTCCATGCCAATGACTGGATTCTCTTACTCTTTCAGAAAGGCTTAGATAAGCCCTTAACCCATGTCAAAACAGACCATGGTCTGGGTTTTTTAGGCAGCGTGCCAGCTTTATGAATGAGAAGAACCTCTGGGACATGTAGGAGCATCCTGTCTACTGCCACGATGAAAGCAAAACGCATAACTACGGTGCTGACAGCCTTTTCTCCTCCAATGTCTGTGCTTGTCTCCACTTCAAAACCAACAACTCCTTGCAATTTCACCTCTCAGAAAGAACCCACAGACACTTTCTGTTGGCTTTGCCCTGTCTCTCCTTTATTTCCACTTCTCTCCTATCAGAAATGAGACTGTTGCAGCTAGTTGTGTGGAGCAGTCCATGTGTCTCACTATGTCCTTTGCTACTCCAACTCTCCATTTCTCCTCTGCTGCATCTGGGTGGGTTCTGGGATCAGCTCCTCAAATCTGCTCTTCATTTCTCACCTCAAGTACTACAGTATCCACCAGCACAACTACTGTGAATTATTTTCAGTTATGCTGCATTAGAGCACCATATTGCTCTCTTTGCTTAAATCCTGCCTCACAAACCAAGATAAAGATAAAAAGATATAGAAAAAGGCTGTTGCTGATGACACTGAAAATCAAAAGCCTAAAGAGCCAGCAGGTCTGAGCATTTACCTATGATGCATGCTCTGTAGTCAGCTTCAGTGACAGTGCCATAATTCATAAGCAGATGAGGTCTCCAGTTATTTCACCAGTTAGCATTGTAATTGGAGTACCAACATTATTTTTAAAAATAAAGCTTTTTCAACACAAATTCTCTGAACTGGCCTTCCAGCTCTGTAAAAGTACTGAATAAAGTCGACTGTGCACATAGCAGTCTCTCCAGAAGAATTTCTTGCTTCCAGTGAAAGGCAGTATTTGTTTAATTTCATCACTTAGTGTAAGATATGGACATGATATCTTCTGTCTACAGGGGAAGATTTATTTCTCTATGTGTTCGCTTTGCGTTGGTTTACTGAGTCAGTGTAGCAAATGAGGAAAACAACAAAAAAACCTCCCTTATGGTCTTTTGTTTCAGTACTATTAGTGATCTGCACAGGTGAAGACTTTTTTTTCCTTTATTTTTGTTAAAGGTATAGATCTTATTAAAGATAGCTCTGAGCAATATCTTCCAATTTCGAGCAGCGCTGGAATAGTTTGAATTCAATCTGAGCTTTGCAGCTGGGGTCCGTATCCTTTTCTTACATTTTGTAGTATTAACTTGGATTATAAAAAGGACATTAAGGACACCATGCATTTCAGAGGATATAATTTATTTCCTGAATTACTTAAGAAAAGCTGGGCTTGAGCTCATACCCTACGGACAACTCTATACTAATTAAATCACCGCCAGCCATGACTATAAAAGGTAGAGCTTGTACTGGTCTTCCTCACAGGTCTTAGTTATACCACCAGGTTATCTAGCACAAGGCAAACCTCAATAACAACCCGGAGATATTGCAAGTGTGAGATATGGCAGTTTTGTTTAAATCTCAAAGAGTTTTGACTTGTTTTGCTATCTCACAGGTGGGCAGCGTGTACCTGCTCAGCTCAGGGAATCTAGAGAGTAGCTCAGTGGACCATGTGTAGGTACCTGCTTCAAGCTCCACTGAAGATATTAACTGGATCTTAATCAACAGGAGCTCAGAAACCTGCATCCCCATCCTTAACCCAACAAGTGCTTGCATTTGGAGTTGAATCCCAGCCCTGGTAATTCAGTGATACAACTCAGAGTATCTGAGCCCTCAGTTAGCACTGGGGCATCAGCTCCCCTCTCTGCTGAGCCTGTGAACACAGTCTTCACGGATCACTTAGCGTACATTGCCTAACTGCAGATCTCCTTCCTCCTCAGGATACCCCTCGTGCCTAGAAAAGCATTTGCAAAGGTACCTCATCAGCTACCTCCAGCCCCCTCTCTGAACTCTTCCTATCAACAGATGATGGGATAGACAAGGTATACCAAGATCTTGGGCGACCATGCAGAAATGCACAGCCTTGTTGTTTCCTATGCTTGGTACTCATCCATCTATTTCAACTGAAAGTGCTTTACAGAAATGTTCATTTTTCAGTCTGCATTTGAACAGCCTACTGCAATAGAAGTTTGGCCCATGATTAAGGTTCCTGGAAACTAAAATAGTACAGATAAATAATAACAACATAAACACACTATGACTTCAGATGTCTGTGTCCTTGCTACAGAAAAATCATTCATATCCAGAGGGGAAATAAGACCGAGAGTGTCTACTCCATGGCTTAATGATGTTGCAAGATGCACCATTTCTAAAGGTCACTGGAAAATAAATGCTCATTTTTGGGGTGCTGACTGGACAACATGGAGTAAAAAGGCACATGCACTGGTTCACCACCACAGCTGATTTAGAAGGGGAAAAAAAACATTTAAAAAACTTTCTGGATTAAAATTTAGTTTGAGTTGGTGTGTGCATGGAGAGGGGCAAAACTGGGTCTACCCTATTGTTACAAAACGTCCCCAGGCTAGCTGAGAAGTTGCCTCCTAGCTGCTGCTTCAGGATTTGACACTTAAATTAACTCTCAAATGTGACCACACCAGGTCAATGGTCCTCAAGAGTCGGACTGACATCATCTCAACTGCAGTTCATCACTGGCTCTGCTGACCCTGCTCCAGAGTAGCCATCAGGTTGGTTCCCTCGCACAGCTGCCTGATCCTTCTGAAGCTTCTCAGTTGGACTGAGCATGATGGCAACTATTTTTCTTAACAAAGCCCAATAGTAACTTCAGATGGTCTTTTCTGTCTTTCAGCAGCAATGTACCTTCTACAGCTCCTATATCCACTCCTTCCTTTTGCGCATACAGCTACCAATGGGGGGAATCAGGTCAGAAAACAAAAGTATGTTTAAATTTAAAATAGCAGAGGAAAGGGAAGTTATTTTAGTGTCCTAGTTTACGTATGGCCAACTCAAATCAGTTGGCCCTCAATGCCACGGAGATAGTGCAAGAACAGGTGTCACAGATGTCCATTCATGACTTCGATGAATATCCATATAACTACCACATAAGGAAACCACTTTTCTTCTTGGGTATTTTTGTGGTGGGGGGCGGAGGAGAAGGAGTGAGTAAGCAGCTGCATGGTACTTAGTTGCTGGCTGGGGTTAAACCACAACATTGGAGCATAGTCTGATTAAGAAAAAAAAATAATGCTGAATAAGTCCTTAAAAAAATCTAATGTCACAAAAAGTGCTGTTAGGCTGAAAATTAGTTTTGTCACAAACTGAAAGTAAGCACTTTCTCCAAACAGAAATATGGAAATCTGCAGTAATATGTCCAGAACAGAGTGCTACTGCAGGAATAGGAGCAATATTTTTCCATTCCTACAGTTAGCTTGGAGGAAGAGTCAACTTAAGTATCCCTCGATGGGGCTAGCATTATATGCAGTTTTAATTAACATAAAATTTGCTAACTTTATTTAGCCTGTGTGGAAAGGAAAACTAGTTAATGCTATGTCAGCAATTTTCTCAAATACATTTATAAAATCGCTAACACATGCATATATACATTTTTTAAAAAGTTGCAAGGATCTTGAGCTGAACAAGTGTGACATTGTTTGGATGGATAGTGTCAGATATCTTAGAAATAATGCATGGAGAAAAGTTTTCCGCCAAAAGCAAGGAAAATTGTCTCCCAATGGTTCAGAAGGCTTGGGGGGACATTTTAATGTTATTCAGTGGAAATAAAAACAAACAACAAAATCTTTTAAATCCATTAGAAACACTGTCTTCATTCCTCTTGAAGGCTGCTGATGAAATACTTGCAAACTAGATACTGTACCAAAGGAAAAAATCTTAAAAATATGTAAACCAGTATCAAATGGTGTTTTGCAGTGCAAGGTTCCCAGCTGGAACCAAGGACCCTCACCTGCACAGGGTCGCAAGCCCTTGGATTGCCTCTCTGACATCCTCCACAGACATGTGAACAGCTCATTACAAAACATCTGCCACAGAAACCATTTCTAGATCATGTTTCCTGGTTACAAGGGCATAGCTTGCCAGAGGAAATAAATGAAAAAATCAGCATCTGCTGTCTAGCAGTGTGCTGTTTGTTGCAATACATCACCAACCACCAACAACTGTAATAATGGAGGCTCTTCATTCCTGTCCAAAACTTAACCAATTATTGAAACAAAATCCCAAAGCCAAAGACCCGGTTGTTAATTTATTATTTAAAAGGGAATGAACGAAATGTTCAGTTTTACCCTGAGTGGTCAGCTTAAAGCAAGATTGCATCTTTCCAACTTGAGGACATTCCCGCAGATACTCCCTACAAAGTGACTTGAGTCAGCTGAATTTGGCTACAAAGTTAGCAAGAAACCAAGCCAGAGGCAAGTGTCAGTGTTATCATAATACAGGGCAGAATGGGTTGATCCAAAGTGGAGCCAAATCCTCTCTGACAATTGTTAACATCCGCAGCACTATTTTGCCCTTATAATGTTAGAGATGGTGCAACCTGGAGCACTAACTTGGCAAAAGCTCTAAAAAAAGGGAGCTAAGGAGTCATTAACTTAAGACATCCTACCTCACAGGGAGGATAAACCTTTAGTTTTAAGCCCCTGTCTCTATGTTCATCAATAAGCCAACACCTATTGCTCTGTAACAAGTAGAAATGTGAGTATCAAAGCCACAAGAACAGTCTTGTGCTCAAAGAAGTGTGCTTTCTGAATAGCAAATACCTTTTAAACTGCTTCTTCCCTCAAGACTGCAGCACAGGAGTTATATCTGCAATTGCCAATTCACACAGCCAACAATTAGCTGAGACACTGTCCTAAATATTACAAAACACAACTCATTACTTTCCCTCTGGAATGATACTGCTCTATGCACAAGCAGTGGGGAAATCACGTACAAAACACCTCCCTGTGTCCCTGTTCAAGGACGCTTAAAAACTGTGGAAAGTAAAAGTAATTGCTGCCAGACAGGCAGACTTCTCCCAATCACGGAAAACACCAACTTCAAAGACAGTGCAGATGTGAAGAGAACAAGGTCACAGCGTGCTACGTTGTGGTTCCAAGTCACCTGTTGCCACAAAATATGTTTTTTCCACATATTATATGAAAATTAAGAAATCTTCACTTACCTGAGGGCCGATCAGACCATTGATTCCTGGGAATCCTGGTTCTCCCTTTTTACCCTGCGTGTTCAACAGAGGAGAAGATATTAGACACCAGGGCAAAGACTGCTATTGACTTTCCAAAGTCTTTCACCTCAAAACTGGTAAATCACGGTAATGCGGGTACACAAAACACAAAAGCTAGAAACGAAGGCAGGAGATGTCATTTGGCTGTGAAACTCCAGTTGTCTTTGACAGGTCTGTATCTCCCAGATTGTGACAATAGCCCCAAAGATGAGGGTTGGTCTGATGCATGTCATGGCATCTCCCATACTCTGCAATCCCACCTGGGTACTCCTCACAGAGAGTCAGAGAAGTCACAGTGCTGAGATGCAGCCAAGGGAGGTACCACGCTGAGAGACACTTTCCTTGCTGCAATCTATCCCTTCACCCCTCCCCAACAAAGCCAAGCAGTGTCGCTTGTGTTCCTTGCACTGTTTTGTGCATTAAGAAAGAAAATAATTAAGAACTCTGGTGCATGGATGAATATTCACAATCTCTAAACCAGGAAACAGGAATCCATGAGGCATTTCTAACTAGGGTTGGCATTACCACCAAGGGACAGAGCTCCCTGACTCCTCTGGAAGCAGAAAACTATTCCTCCAGGTGAACCACAGAGCTTTGCTGGTGCAAGGGAAGGATAAACCAGGACATGGAGTATACCCTCGGGACAAATTCACCTATATGAATGTAATGACACCTGTGTTCCTCATGGGTTTGACCTCAAATAGTTCACAGGGAAAAAGTGCTACATGAGAAAAATGAGGAAGAAAAGGAGTAAGGATGCATGAAACACTAGAGTTAAGGCAGAGGTTGCATTTGCTTCTCAACTGAACAGGTGACTTGCTGTGTTACTTTGGGCAAGTCACATATTCTGTGATCCAGCTTTCTTGTAAAAACAATCTATCCTTCCCTGATGTGTAATAGACACTGAATCATTAATACTTCTGAGGTTGTTAGTAATATACAAGGAGGGTACAAAAGGAGTCATGTAAATATCCGTGAGACACAGAAAAGTTATTTTTTTCTCCCTCATTTCCACTTCTCATCCAAACTGATTTTCTTTTTAGAAGGATACTATAATTAAGCAAGTTTCATGTCACTGCTGATGTGATTGGTCATACAGATGTGTAAGAGTCATATATATAATATTCCCTTTGTTTAAATATGTCTAGAAACAATATGTATAAAGAACAGCTTCCTG